CTCCTTTGTGACCGGGTTAATGAGTGGAATTTAAAAATGTCCTCTTGTCCTCTTGTCTTTTGCAATAAATCAATGGGTATTGCAGAGCGTTATAAAACTTGTGTGTATCGGCTACCCGTTGCAACGTATCATCACGTGCTCGCAAGACAATGTCTTGTGAAGAAAATTGATCACCACTAATTACAGCTGCTATTTCGTTTATCAAATGTGCATTGTAGCGCATTGCATGCTCTCCTCGAGGGGTCCGATCTGCGTGAATGACGACTTTATAATCCTCTTCAGGTAGATTTTCTAAAGCAGTTTTAAATGTTTTGAATAAAATATTACGTTCATGCAAGAATCTCTGAATTTTGTACACTGTGTCTCTCTCAACTCCCTGGATAAATTGGCAGCGACGGTCTACCTCAATTTCTTCGTCACCCATAAAATATACTTGTAAAAATTTATGCTGTTCGTTTTCAGCTGGAAAAAGTGAACCTATTCTATGATAAATTTGCCCTTGCACCGTAGATGTAGGCGGAAATCCCGGCATTATTATTTCCCGTTCAACTCCGAAGGACGTCATTTGAAAGCATGAGTTATATTTCCGGATCCTGTTGAAAAAGCGCCGTGACTCATTTAGCATCATATAAAAAGAGAGTTTTCAAAGGTTCTTCTGGTTCCCCAAGTAACGGAAGAGACACTTTGCCATTGGAACAGCACATGCCTGTGGTCTCATCTTTCCATTTTAAAGCGCTGCAAAATCGACACGCCTTGTCCATCAGTCCGATAACAACTAACCTGTGATTTTTATAATCAATCAACGGATCATATTTGAATGCTGCGTCATTAAAAACCGACCTTTTTTTTTGTTTTTGTGCATTTGCATCTCTTCGTTTCTGTCTGGTGTTTTGTTACGTTGCTGTTGGTGTTTCGGGGCCTGACGTTCCGCTTGTTCGAATAGCCTTTGCTGACTTTGATCAGGTGTTTCAGTAGCTCTTAAAGTAGCTTGACGCTCTGTCTGTTCAAGACACCTTTGCTGACTTTGAGCAGGTGTTTCAGTAGCTCTTAATGTAGCTTAACGCTCTGCCTATTCAAGACGCCTTCGCTGACTTTGAGAAGGTGTTTCAGAAGCTCTTAAAGTAGCTTGACGCTCTGCCTGTTCAAGACGCCTTTGCTGATGTTGAGAAGGTGTCTCAGATGCTCTAAAAGCAGCCTGACGCTCTGATTGTTCTTATCTTCTCGGTTCAGCATCTTCTAAAGATTCTAGCGATCGAGCAAATCTTTTCGCTTGTCTTTGAGAAGATACTCTTGAAAGGCTGGACTTACGTTTGTGAGGCATTATGAAGTAACAAAAAACCTATTTAGAAAAAATCGTTAAAATACCTAAAAGGAATTAAATTTCCTTTTAAATATTTTTTTTAAAAGCAAATCCAAAATATCTAAAAGAAATAAATATTCCTTTTAAATATTTTTTAAAATCAAAACAACAAAACCAATCCAAGAAACAACACGAATCCAAAAACGATAGCCAAAAAAATCGAATCAACTTAAACCAAACCACAAAATAAATCGCAGAAAACTGAAATCGAAAGCAGTAGTCAATATAAATATAACCAACAAAAAAAGAAGTAAGTGTATAGGTACCGTATACACTATCTATACGATTAATATTCCTTTGAAATATTGTTAAACAACCTAAAACAACGAAAACCAATTAACGATTCTAAATAAACAAAATCCAAAATCAAAGCTTTATCAATAACAAAACCGATCCAAGAAAATACACAAATCCGAAAATGAAAGCCAATATAAATCCATCAACTTTAACCAAATCACAAAGCAAATAACAAACAACCGAAATCGAAAGCAGGTAGTCGAATAAGCTATAAAATAGAAACAATTTAAGCGTATAGGTACCGTATGCACTATAAGTTGACGCGCGGCTCGACGGCGGTTGTTAAGTAAATGTCAGGAAACATTTCGTTACACATCAATAATAGTACATCAATTTAAACTATGTATAGATTAGTTAATATTAACTCTCAAAAGATATTTTTCTTATAATTTTGCACAATTTTCCTTATTGTAACCGATTCATTTATAACCTCATATAAGAACTGTATTCATTTCCGTTCAATAAATATTACTAAGGCTTATTAATAAGGCTTACTAAGAACTGTTTCTACCACAGTTAAGTAATAGTTAAGGGTGAAAGCGTGACAGGTGGTGATAGTATTTCTGATCCATACTTATAATCACGCCTGTGACCCTTGCGGGGTAGGCAGAGCATCAACGGATTACTTAATATCGTCTGCGAGGTTATCGCCTATTCTGTGAATTACAATGCACCAAAACGTTTGAAGAAAATCAGCTGGTAAATTTTATGTTTTTTATCGCTCTCTTCCCGATTCTGCGTAGAAAAATAAAGATCCATAAACTTTTTATCTTAATTTTGGTAAAAAGACATAATAATCCAGATATTCTGACCTTCTGTGTTCGTCCATCGTACTAATTTAATTTTGCAACATATACAATTTTCCCATGGGAATTATATGTTTTTCCGCTGGAAAAAAGTAGCCTATGTCACTCTACAGCCACTGAACTATCCCCATACCAAAATTCTAATTCCTGTGTAATAAATCATCTAATTCCTGTGGGAAAATAGAATATTTCCCACGGGAACGGAAATGAGATGTTTTTTTACAGCCTCAGCGCTCTGTTGCGACGTGTAAGAAGGACAAATTTGTGCAACATATTCGATTTTCCCACGGGAATGAGATGTTTTTCCGCGGAAAAAAGTAGCCTACGTCACTCTACAGCCACTGAACTATCCCCATACCAAAATTTATGCCATGCCAACGCTCTGTTGCGACGTGAAAGAAGGACAAACTTTTGCAACATATTCTATTTTCCCACGGGAATGAGGCTGTAGAGTGACATAGGCTGCTTTTTTCCGTGGAAAAACATCTCATTCCCGTGGGAAAATAGAATATTTCCCACGGAAACGGGAATGAGATGTTTTTCTACAGTCACCGAACTATCCCCATACCAAAATTCATGCCATGCCGACGCTCTGTTGCAACGTGAAAGAAGGACAAACTTTTGCAACATATTCTATTTTCCCACGGGAATGAGATGTTTTTCCGCGGAAATAAGTAACCTATGGCACTCTACAGCCACCGAACTATCCCCATACAAAAAATCATGCATGCCGACGCTCTGTTGCGACGTGAAAGAAGGACAAACAAACAAACAAACAAACAAAAAAAACACACTTTCGCATTTATAATATTATATAGTATATAGTATGGATTCAAAAATGAATCGCATAGGTAGGTACGCGATGACGCCGTCGCGCATCGCGTCACTCGAGTGCGTATGTGTGTGCACACTAGCTTCTTACTGCTCATCACAGCGCCTATCCCTTTCGCACGTTATGTCGGTTGAGATAGCATGCATTTTAACCCCGCCCACCGTTTAGTTCGAGCTATCACCTAGGGCCACCTTAAAAACTGGTCATAATTATATTTACGAATAAAATCATAATTTTATATTACACTAAAAAACCCTTTACTGCTGGCTATATGAGGAAGCTCAACGTCGCTCAGCGAGCTATGGAGACGGCTATACTCGGGGTTTCCTGCATGATGAACATAAAAATAAGGATATTCACAGTAGAACCAGAGATACCGACATAGTAACAGTAGATTAGTAAGCTGTAGTGGCAATGGACCGGCCATATATTTCGAAGAATCGACAACCAATGGGGGTAAAAAGGTTCTCGAGTGGCAGCCTCGTACCGGTGGGTGAAGGCAGGGCGACCACCAATAAATGGAGTGACGACCCAGTAAGACATGCAGGAAGTCAAGGGATGCAGGTAGGTCAGAACCGTGCTTGGTGGCACCCTTTGGGGGAGGCCTATGTTCAGCAGCGGTCTTGTGAAGGGCTGTAGGTAACGAATGAAAAAATACTAAAAATCACTTTTACCAACGCTGAACTTATGCGGACTATGATGATTTGTTTATCGATATAAAATATCAACATAGTCCTCGCCTTACGTTGCTTACGCATGTAGACAGCGGCACTAATGTATCAACACCTATACAATTTGATGGTATTCGTAAATGCAATTAACACAAACACAAATGCTGTAATGTGCGTGTATAGTGACGCGATTCAATTTTGCATTTGTAGTAAAGTATACAGTCATGAAGGTTAGAGAACAGGAGAACGATCACCGTAGAAAATGATGTTCAGAAATATGGACACCATAAGTGAGGCCCTGCGATCGCTCGAGGAAATCGCTCTTCAGTCAATAAAAGTCATTTTGAGTATATTTTTCCTATCAGATGCTAAACCACTTGCACATCCACGTACAATAAAATATTTCTCCATTTTTTAAATGTGTCTTTGTCAAAAATTACAAAATTACGGAGCAAAAAAATTTTTTCATTAAAAATGAAATGAAAATTTGTACATTATTCAACTAACATCATCTACTTGTACTCATAAACAACTAACTTCGCAATTACTACTCACCGACGTCAGCACCACTATACATTCTACAATTTTCAAGGACAGGCGGGCTATGCTTTAGTACGTAGTGATCGTTATCCTGTTCTCTAACCTTCATGGTATACAGTAGTGTGTTTTTCTTGCACCCCCCTGACAGTGACTGCCTTTTTGTTTAAAAATTAACGCACATGGCCTCTCCAGTTGGTTGAATACTCAAAGCCTTTCTATCATCTCGTCCTGTCTCGTCTATGATACTGTACCGGATGTTTTAGTTAGACAGTTTATATACTCTTTGGATGTTAGTGTTGCCATTATTCCCTTTTCCTTGGCACGCTTCGGTTTTAGATTCAAATTGACAGTTCGCGGCGTCTCAACAGCTGTTCGACCATAATTTTTTAATCTCAACCTCAAAGTAACGTTTATTTCTGTTTATTACACGTGTTTCGCCTAACTTGTATCAACTCATAAAAGTCAAAAAGGCAATCATTAGAATCAAGTATAAGATGGACGAAGAAGTTGAGGTCAAAGGTACGTATTTATTTTTTACAATGTAACAAAAGGCGTGTGGTGCAAGCGTGCCGTCTTACATGATTATCCCTTCAATGTTTGTCCTAAATTTTGATTTACGTTGATCTGAGACTTCAGATTATGTTCATTACCTAGCCATGGGTAAATCATTAGTTCTATAACTTAATTGTCTTGTAAATAGACCGACGTTATTTCAAATTTTTTGGGATTACTGCGCAATTTAATCTCATTTTAAATATTTTATCAATAGACCTATTGGTTATAATAATATATATATTTCTACTAGTTTGAAACAGTTATCTTAACCAAATTTTATTAATTAGAGTATTTTAATATTTTTGACAAATGTAGGTAGGTATATATTTATTTTAGAATTAATTTAGTGTGTATGTTTGTAAATTTAGTTATTTTTAAAAATAAAATATTCAAAAAAATATTTAAGGCCATTTAACCATTAAATAGGATTTTTTTAAATATATATCTATAGGCTCCAGTTGTTTCCAGTAGAGATGGATTATGGATTCAAATATGGATTTCACTGTATACGAATTTTTAAAACGGCCGAAACACCTAAAAATTTTACCTATGAAGAAGCGAATAATCTACCAGAACGATAATGTAGAAAATGTTGGTCAAATAACAAATTTATTTCAAAAAGATCCAAGTAGCAATATTCGGACTTTAATAGTGATGGAAGATTCAGATTCTAATTCTATACAAATTAACATTCAAGAAAACAATGAAGATCAATGTGAGGAAAAAAAGTATTTTGTTCTTATTATTCTTAGTGAAAATTTATTATTATATGATAAAAATGAGTGGCAGGATATCTACTATTTCGACTTATTTTAGAGAAACTGACGATCAAAGTAAAATAAAAGTACTAATGTAATGTAATGTTTCTTTGTTTGCTTTCTTCTAGCTTTCTATTTGCTATTATTAGAAATAAATCTACAGTGCCTCAAAAACAACACTATACAAGTAGATTTCACCCATAAATACAATATACTTTCAACAGTAAAATTATGAAAGACATGGCATAACTCAATTCATACATTTCAATACAATGGACACTTTGAGTACCACTTTAACAAATGTTCTGTAATTTAGCTGAATATGGATATTTGGTAAAGCTGCCGAATACGGATCAATACAATGAATATGGAACAAATATCGGATAGTTTCCAAATTGTGCTATACATTCAAATTTTATTTAACAATATAGTAAAAATATTTAAGTTATTAAGCAAAAACTGATGTTTATTTCCATAATCGTATCATAGTAAATTACTATTATTCTTAAAATTTTCCTAACAAAGACTTTAATACTAGCTCCTGTGACGCGACTTCGAAGAAGAATGTCTGTGGAACAATTTGACGATGGAAAGTCATCCCCTGCCCCTAGTACACCAACAAAGAAAAGAGGTGGTAGAAGGTTGGCAAAATCAGAACTAGATTTGATAGATGAAAATGGTAAAGATCTTTCTATTTTTTCACAATTTAAAATAAAATAACAACACAGCACATCTAATTGCATGTAGCTGTTTTGGTGTATTTTTTTTTATAGGATAAGGGTGGCAAACAGGCACTGTCTACCTGATGGTAAGTGGTTGCTGTGGCTCAAAGACATCTACATTTAACCTCAATTAAGAATCAAAATGCAGATGCGTTACCACCCTTGAGGACTTAATAGGAATGCCTCGATTCCAGTAAAACGGGTCTCCGGTTCTCTACACTCATACGAAACATAGCGGCATTAAGCTGCTATTTGACGCTGGTAGTGAAACACACACAGAAGTGAAAGTGTGGTCCTTCCCCGGTCGATCCAACTCATTCATGCTACAACCAAAATATAGCTGCAGCATGGCTCTACCACATACAAAGTGTATGTTATATATCTGTAAACATTAATGTAATGTGCATAGTAAGAAGTATTTTATAATAAGCAAATTTTTTGTTTTAGCAGTCGAAAACAATTTAAAAAACTCAACTAGAAAATCAGTGGTCAAAGATATTGTAGATACAGTTGAAGATAAGCCCGTAACACCGTCAAGAAGAAGTACTAGGATTAAATCCAACACCAGTATTGTATCAGATACAGTTCAAAATATTGACTCACCTAGAGCTAAAAGGGCTGCAAGAAGAATGTCTCAAGTTGGTTAGTTCTTAAAAATTCATTATAATTTATGGCATTCAAAGGATAGCTTTATTAAAGTAAATAATAAGTTAATAATAATAAATGTATGATTTGCTCTTTTAGGTAGTGATAATGAAATGCCCCTGACTCCAGTTAGACAAACCCGCAGGACTAGGAAAGATTCAACATCCAATGTTGAAAAACAAGGTACTTTAACTTATACCATTGTTTCCATAATAAATTCAGCTACAGTTTAATGAATTGTTGATACATGAAATTTTCATAATATAAACATCAATTTTAACAATTAATTTATTGCAGTGGAAGCAACCTCTGCTATCGTAAAGAATACAACTCCAATACCTGAAATAATCGTTGAAGAACCTGACAATGTTAATAAAACATCAAACAATGAATTTAAAAACCTAGACAATGAAGACAAAAAACAAAGTCCAGTTCGCAAGAGTCCTAGGCTATTAAGTAAAAAATCTAGATCAAGTAATTCCTCAGTGCCAGATGATGAAAATAGTAGTAGTGTTGAAGGTAATAAGAGTGATACTCATAATACTTCTAGACACAATAATTGCAAAACAGAAAAGCCTATTGTGTCATTAACAGAAAATACAGACAACACTATTGACAGTAAAGCAGATATAAAAATCTCTGACAAACACAGGCTTTCTCTTTCTAGTACAAACCTTATTAAAGACTTAGACACAAACCCTAAGAAAATATTCTCACATATTAACAAAAGTTTATCAGAAGCTCAGAAATTGAACAAGGTGCAATGTAAAAGACACAGAACTAAGTCTTGGACTGCTATAACCACTGTTTCTGTTCCCAATGAAGGTTTTTATAGTGACAGTGAAAATGTTAAGAAAAAGCATAAAAATAGCATATCTGATGTTATAAAAAATAATATATTAAAAGGTTCAGGTGATAATAGCAAACTGAATGAAAGCAATATTGATGAACTAAATTCTTCAGAAAATTATGTAAAGTCTTCTAAAAGTAAGAAAAAGAAAGAAAGTGATACATTTTTAAAACAAACACCTAATAAATTTAACTCTAATGAAGAAGCAAATAATCTAACCAGCAACCATAATGTAGAAAATGTTGGTCAAATAACAAATTTATTTCAAAAAGATCCAAGTAGCAATATTCGGACTTTAATAGTGATGGAAGATTCAGATTCTAATTCTATACAAATTAACATTCAAGAAAACAATGAAGATCAATGTGTTCCAGTTGTTGTTGATCAATTAGAAAACAGAAATGATACAAAAACAGATTATATTTTATCTAAATCCTTTCAAAATAAAAAAGAAGATTTTAAAGATGCCAATGATGTTGTTACAAATGACACCTGTGAACCAATGGATGTAGATGTAACATTACCAGACATCCTACAAAATAAGAAATCAGAAATGGAGTCAAAGTTAGTATTAAATAGTTCAATAGATTCGAATTCTAATAATACTAGAAGAAAATCCTCTGATCTTTCAACATCTCAAAATCAAGAGAAAAGTGATAGTGAAAATAAAAGTACCTGTATATTTTCGCAATTAAAAGATATATCTAGCACTGACAACAACACTTCAAAGTCACCCCAAATTTCTAATAATAAACGCTTGTCGAAATTAAGCAATATTTTAGACAACACACAAGAAGATACAAAGGTAAACAAAAATCTATCCCTTAACTATTTAACAAGCACTCCTCTTCAACAGAAGACTGGTACAAGTGATCAAGGTAACAATAAATCAAAGCATATATTTGATAGTAACATATCAAAAGAAAAGGTTAAAATAACTACTAAAAAAGATGTGTCTGGGCATCCTGCCACAGAAGATTCCATTTCAGAAAAAGAATCTACATCTAGTGAAAACAATTTAATTGATAATGAAGCTGAAGAAGCAAGTAATGACTATGAATCTGGGGATAGCCAAGATGATGAGGAAAGGCAATACCAAATAGATAACGAAATTTTAGAAAAAGGAGAAACATTAACATCTGAAGATGAATTGACTAATGATTCCGATTATGAGAAAGATTCGTTTATAGTTAGTTCTGATGAAGAAGACAATGAATTGCTCAGTGGGTCTGGTGACGATTTATCCATGAGCGACAAAGAACTCAAAATGACTACAAAATCAAAGAAAAAATATAACAAGCGAAAATTAAAAGAGCAAAAACAAGCATCAAGAGAAATGTTTGAAGCACGCCACAAGTTAAGCCTTTCAAGCAGTAGTAAAAGTTCTAAATTAAAAAAGAATATCCTCCGTCAGAGATTAGAATCTTCACAATCTGAAGACGACATCGTAGGTTCGAAAAAAAATAAAAGAAACAGATTGAATTCTACAGCTAATGATCATGCAATTAAATTTGATACAGACAATTCTATTACCCAAAAGAAAAAGAAGAAAAGAGGTTTATCAGAATCTTTGTGTAACGAAACTTTATTAGTGGAAAAAGAGATAACAGTTTGTGAAGAAACAATAAATAATGTAACTGATCCATTAGGAACACAAATTAAATCCGAACCAAATACTCCAGCAAAAGAATCTAACAACTCTGTTGGATTTATTAACACTGACATAATAAAAGGCACGCCTTGTGAGAAAAGTACTTCCGATTTACTTAAACTCAAAGATCCTTTAGAAGATTCTGATGACAGCAGCTCCAATTTAAGTAGCGCTGAAGAAAATATCGCACAGAATTACGATAAAATGCTCAATGAATTAAAGATAAAATCTGGTAATCAATCATTAAATATGGATGAAAAATATACAATCAAATCAAATCCAAAAATTCCTATTGTTGAAAATCTTAATTTAACACAGTCTAAAAAGTCAAAAAATAAATCATCTCAAAGTGGTGATACCTTGAATACTAACAGACAGAGCACTAGCAAAATGGTAAATGTAAAAAGTACTGATGAACTCTGCCCAAAAGCAAAACCATCGGACAAATTAAAACAAAAATCTTTAGAAAATGATTGTTCACCAATAAAACAGAATAATATTATTGTTGAAAAGTCAAAGTTGGGTAATGTTTCCTTGAATTCAGACAAGAAAACTAAAACAGCATGTAAACAGTCCATCATGGATCAACTTAATATAACACAAATAAAAAAGAAACTAATAAGTAGTGACAGAAAAAAGAACATGTCTGATAGATCAAAGGCAATAGAAAATTCTGATTCTGATGATTCTTCGGATTCAATTGATTTGAAGTTGCTCTTCTCTGAAGACAGTACTAATAGTGGAGATTTAAATAAAGAAAGTAGAAGAAAATCTGGAGAAAGCTTAGAAGATTTCATTCCACTAAAAAAATCTCAAGCAAAAACAGATATCCGAGCTAGAGAAGGTAAATTTAAAAGAATTTTTATATATATTTAAAGTGATACTCAATCAAGTGCTAAAAATTATGTGACAGTATTTTGCTCTAAATTATTGTAACATTTAAAATGCTATGTTATTACTTTTAGATACAGATAGTAAAGCTACCATGAACAACAAATTGTTTCTAGATGAAAATGTTTTAAAGACTAAAAAACCAAAAGCTCTTCCAGAAAATGAAGGTCAGTTAAATATGTTAAAATATATATATAATTATTTTAGAATTTGAAAAATTACATAATTTGTTTTAACTACACATCATACATAATATACTTACAAGTATTGCTAATAAGGAAATATATATACTTATAAGTATGCTTTTAAGGAAATGTAATAAATATATTTACACAGAAATGGTATGAAAATAAAGAGTAATAATATCGTTTTATAGTCCAACAATCATGTTATTTGCATATTTCTAAAAATAAACATTAAAAAAATTAAAAAATAATAGATCATTATTCTATACTATCTATCAACGTCCACTGCTGATAAAAAGCCTTCCCATTGATTGCCTCATTTTTGTTATAGATTGATTGCCTCATAGTGGGATATGTATTTTTATATTATATTATTACAATAATAACGTGTGATATAATATAAAACTGAAGAGAAACTGTTGCTCCTTTACTTTTAAACAACGATACACATTTAGAGTGTTTCTGTATTTGTAATAAATACTTTCTGTACCTTTTTTTCTGAAGTGCATTGTTTTTTAACAAAAGTACCTGCATAGTTTCGGCAATGATTCTCTGCTGTAATGAAGGTAAAAAAATCCAAGAGAAAATTATTATTTTTTATGTTTATTTTTTATTGTTTATGTACCCCTTATGATAATGTTCAAGATATATGTATTATATGATATGATTTATATCTGTGGACAAATAGCAGTACTTGTACTTGTGTGTACTAGTCTGAAGGGTATATAGCAGCCCAGTATAATTAAAGACTGTGAGGCATTCCATTTTAGCCCCATCTCATTACACTGCATCTGTAGCTTTTTTGTTTGAATTTGGATACAGGTTTCATGCACTGCAGTAGCCATGTACAAACGTTGATGGACCTTAGATCCTAAATAACCTAGATTTGGATGGGAATATTTTTTAAAGGAGCTATGCTTGGATGCAATAACTGATAATCACAACAGTGCCAGATCAGAAAACTAACAATGTTTTTACCATTAGCTACTTTGGCCATTAGGCCAGTTTTTGTACCATTTTAATGATATTTACCAAAAAGTTTATGGATAGTTGAAATATTGCTATGGTCAAACACATACCAAAATGTATCTGTTGTAGGAAATATTTATTCACATTCATCATTTTCTGTAAATTTCAGAGGGTTGTAGCAATGAAAAGGGAGAAGAGACACCATTTTTTGTGGATACCTTTGGAACTCATACCAATTCCGATTCATCTGCTAATGAAGATAATGAAGCAAAAATAAAGATGCACAATACTTCTCATGCAAATAGTGAGTAAAACTATATATATATATATATATATATATATATATATATATATATATATATATATATATATATATATATACAAACTATATAGACATAAACTTAGATTACTATTTTTTTTGCGCCCGTAGCAAATATGGGCAACCCTCCGGAAAACGGGGGAGGGAGGTGGGGAATGCCCATAGCATACCACGCAGCCGGCTGCGTGGTTATGTGGAGACTTTTACCCACTAAACCCCACCTTTTAGGGACTGGCTTAACGGTCTAACTAGAGATCTCTAAGCCGTATACGAACGCGACCCTCCTTGGCAGAAAGGAGGGCGCAGATTACTATATTAAATTTCTTATGTTAAATATATATTTTGAATTGTTATTTAATTATTTGGTATTCTAAATTTTAAAATTAAAAAGTCCACTTGAAAGAAGATATTAGGAATTTTTTATAGAAGGATAAGAAGGATTTTTTTATAGAATAAAGTTGACAAACGAGCACACAGTCCACCTGGTGGTAAGTGGTTACTGTGGCCCATAGACATGTACATTCATCCTCAATACCTAATCAAAATGTAAATGCATTATACCTGTTAGGGCTAAGATGGAAAGCTTTGTTTCCAGTAAAAAAGGTCTCCAGTTCACTTACCATATGTACGAAACAGCAGAATTGAGTTGCTATATTACGCTGGTGTTCAACATATTAGCTTTTTTGTAAAATTAAAGTGACAACTACACAGATGATGAGTGGATGCTGTGACCCATAGACATCTTATCTATTCTCGATTAATAATCTAAATGCAGTGCAGATGTGTTGTCTCTCCTAAAGACTAAGATGGAATACTTCCTTTTGCAGTAAATAAGGTCTCTGGTTCTCTATACTCACAATACAAACACAGCAGCATTATGTTGCTATTTCATTCTGGTAATCTGTGAGAGTGGTTCTTCTGCAGTTAAGCCAACCCATTGGTGCAAGTTTTTTTTGTACCTTCTTCTGTAGGCCAAGAATTATCAAAAGCTCAGGGTAACAACTAAAATGTTGTTTAAATAAAACATAAAATCAAAAATTTACCCCCTATGTTTTATCCTTAGAAGTGTTTTTTTTTATATGGGTTTACTTGTGAAGTAAAAAAAGAATCGTTAAAATCAATTCAGAATTGACAGACATCACAGATATACTACATAATATACATATTAAGTAAAAACAAACAAACCCAGAACCTCCTTTTTTGAGGTAGGCTAAAACATACAGTCACATAACCTTCTTACAAAATCATGTTGTAACATATAGAACTACGAATTTGCCAACAAACTTGCATGGGAGGGCTCAAAGTGCACAAGTGAAATTGCTCACGGCTAAGCAACTCCTATTCATTAAAGACATAGGGCTAAGTCGTAAACTATAGCCATAGCAGCGATCACAATAGATCTTCTAGGTCGCAGTGATACTGGTCTCTTTCCCTAGACCTGCATAGCTGCTCGCACACAATGAAAAAAAATATATAGTCTTATATTTCTTATACTACAGATGCTTCAAGTACTGAGGATTCTGAAGATGATGATGCACCTCTTGAAATGTCATGTATAAAGGAAAAGAGTACCATCAAGGAAGACAACCTTAGTAAACGAGAAGAAGTCAATAATTTTGATGAATCAGGTAATGATATTGTTAAAAATGATCTGATGTCATCCTATTATAGTTTTTTTCCTTTTTATTTGACTCAAAAGAGTCAGTAATTCCTTCCTATAAAGTCCCAGAAAATATAAAAATTATTTAGTAAGATTATTATACTACTAAAGAGAACATAATTGGTTTTGGAATTGAGGATGAGGAATTGGGAATGAGGTGATCACTACAATACTGTGTCTAAATATTTTTATATTTCATTGTACAACACAATATATTGTAAATTAATATTTTTAAAAAGTTCTAATTATTTTTTTTTAAAGAGCCGTGATAGCTCATATGGTTAGCGCTTGCTGTAATTTTCACAAACCGGGTTCGATCCCCGCCGGCACCAATGAAATTGTTAATTGCAATTTTAAGTGCTGATTTACCACGTGCTCGGCGGTGAAGGAAAACATCGTGAGGAAACCTGCAAGTCTGAGAAATAAGAAACAAAATTCGAAGACAAGTTCGCCAACACGCATTGGGGCAGCGCGGCGGACACTTCCTTCTCGAAATGAGAGGAGGCCTGTGCCCAGCAGTGGGACGTGTATAGGCTGTAACTTGAAATAATTATCAAAAGTAATTTTAACTTAAAAAAGTCCTTCCCTGAGGACTAAATTAGAAAGCTTTGGTACCAATAATAAGAATCTTTAGTTCTTTACATTCACCAAACAAACACAGCGGCATTAAGCTGCTATTTTACGCTATTAATCTGTGAGAGCAGTCCTTCGCTTAGTTGTGCCTACCCATTTCTGCTGGTACCAAAATATAACCGCAATGTGACTACCGCATTTAAATTATGCCGCTATTTCATGCTAATGTAAGCTGTTTAGCTGGTATGCTCGGTATGCAACAAAAATGATAGTTCTTTTTATAGTTTATAATAGAAAATGCTTAGGTTTACGATTACCAATGCAATTTTATTGCAATATATCTTTAAAAAAAACCAAAAAGAGGATATCTGCGGAAATTATTTCGACGTTTTTGCTCTAGTGGGAGGAACTATGTTTCAAAAGAATAGAATATTTGAAAAATAAAAACGAAATTTTATTCCCCGTCGAGCCGTGCCATTCTCGTGCTGTAGTCATTATAGGTACACTGCTTGACTGCTATGCATACAATGCAAAAACACGCGGCAGTATTTCACCACTTAAATCTACATTAAACTCTTCCTTAATTCTAAACCTATTATTAATACACACTTATTATTTAAAAGGGTGTTAGTATTATTCTAAAGGGCTTTATTAGATATGCACTAATAAAGCCCTTTAGAATACTCAGAATCCCAAATTTAATAAATAAACTGTAGTCTGAAAAGTGCCATTTTTATTTCTTACTGACTAACTTATTCACACATCAAAAACTTAGACCACTCCTAAGAATTTGATATCAAGATATATCATTAGACGTATTACTTTAGTTTACGACGGACTGTTTTCCGCAACTCCACGCCTAAGCGAGTATCTTGCGTGTGGGCAGGAATAATGTGATTATTCGAGCCATGATATCTCCCCGAAGAAGTTCAACAGTCCTTTGATGTTGCAAGCAACTTCGGAGAGCGATCATGGCGTGCCGAGATGTTTAGCCCTGTATGAAGCGACTTTGACATATAAAAATTAAAGTCTTCCTCATTTGAGAGGCGGTTTAAGGGCAAAGCAAATGTCCACCGCGTTGCACCAATGCGTGTTGGCGAACTTTACATGCGTATATTTGAAATATTTTTTCAATTATTCAGACATGTAGACTTCCCGTGCTTGCTCAACATAATAACATTTACACGGTTACAGTGTTTTCCTTCTCCTTCGAGCACATGGTTAATCAGCACTGAATAATTTCATACGTGGCGGTATTAATCGAACCTTTGCCCGCACACTGGAAAATAGTTAAAGTTACATCTAACGAAATAATTATTTAAAATAAGCCAAAAATTTATTTTTTAGTCATTCTATTTTATACTACAATTTAATTTGTAATAAATCTTGTTAAGTTATTTTTTGTTAAAGAATGTAACAAATGTTATTTTAAATCAATTGAGGAAGGTATGTTCCGATAGCTATGATTTTAAGGAACTGCTATGGAACTTAACGCCCATTTAAATGATTAATCATCTATCGACGAAGCCGACAATCCTGATTGTCGTTTGTACCAAATTTTTTTCGCATTTATTTTGTGGTTAGATTAATATTTATATATTTAATTTACACATTAAATGTAAAATTCAAAATTAAAAATTGTTTCAGGTAATGCAGCCAAAAAGTCTAAAGCAAACACATCTGAGAGTAAAATTAAAAAAGTAAAGAAGATGTCACCGTCTCACAACCTATCACAACATGAAAAAACTATTGATAAATCCCTGACTAAAACTCCTGAGACTGTCGGTAAGAAAAAGAAAATGTCGGGATCATTTAATGTTTCGAATTTGGAATCTATTTTCTCATTGGTCCAAGAAAACTCAAGTTCAAATGATGAGTCAATTAATAAAACACTTAGCAGTGAAATAAAGAAAATCAAAAAGCTATCTGACTCTAATGTTTCTGATTGTGAAGAGGTTTCCGCATTAGTTGTAACAAACACCAAAAAGATAATTAATAAATCAGTAACTAAAACCCCAAAAAGTGAAAAGAAGAAAAAGAGTAGATTATCGGAATCACTTAACAAATTTGATGAAAATTTCTCAGAAGCTAATAATACAAAAGAAGATTTGTTTGGAAAAGATCAAATAGATACAAAATCAGGTATCAGAATATTATTTTGTTTAAAATAACATACATTATGATTTCTTAAATTTACGCGAACACTACACATTGAATAAAACTAAATTAATAATCCTCGTGTTACACCATATCTACTACCCGCTGCCACCTACTACTAAACGGATAAAATCCGTAAATTTAGTTTTATTCAATAACATACATTACCTTAATTTTAAAAGGGCCAATTGTTTAAATATCTTAATTATTATTTACAGTGTGTGAATCTGAGAAAAAGACATTTGTAACACATGAACCAACAGAAATAATGCTGACAAATGAAGGTATACTTACAAAACAACATTTTCATTCTGTCATTTTGAAAACATATGTAATGATTGAATAAGATCTCTCTTTCTCTTCCCATTTCTCGACTCTTTTTCACTCCTCGTTATTGAACGCTTTCTTTTACTGTTCTGTTACTAAACTTTCAAAAACAGATGAACTTTCATGTCATTAAAATAGACAAGCTAACAATTCATTTGATGATGTGTGATTGGTGGAGACTTGCAATTGCAACCAACATCAGATATAGCCGACCACCTGCAGAAGTGTTGTCAACTAAAAACTAAAGGAATGCCTCACTGTTGCAATTATACTAGCTTTCAAACCAGATTATAAGTTTGGATTTAGAGCTACTTAGTTTGCCACCTTGTAGATTATATTTTATTATATTTCTCATTACAGGGAAAGTTAAAAGTAAAAATGATCCTAGTGATGCATGCTCAAAAAAACGCAAAAGGAAATCATCCGTCAACCCTACGTTAGAAGTATCTTTAGAAGGTTTGTAAATTAAAATATTTCGATATTTTAGAAGATTCATTATACATTATTTTAAAATAATAATAACGAATGTTGAATATGCACTTTTGCTTAAGCAATTAATTATTAACAGCAATAAAACAGCATAACACACTACATATGTGTAGCACGATTATCATGAAATTGTACTTTTGTAAAAGAAATAACGATTTAATTTTTAAAAAAACAATTATCACAAACAAACTTTTAATCAAATAATTTCAAAACAAAACTGGGCATAGGCTATTTTCTAATAATTAAATGCAAATTTAAAAATAAAATGAAAAATGTCGGTCACGCAATCAATCACTATCAACACGATGTGTACGCGTCGACGGCTCGCGGGCCAAATGGGCATGTTGCTGGGTGGCGCTGCCTTTTATAGGGGCAGATTTGTCTTCATATCTTCTCCTCCAATAGTACTTTAATATATAGTGTAAAGTGATCATCTTCGTCACATAATAACACCAAATAATTTAAGTATGCAAATCGACGGCAACACTCTGCTTTTCACAATTTAACGCTAGCTTGCTTCACACGAACAGAATTACGATATAAAAAGAAAACAAAATAATGGATTTAATGATTTTTGTAAAAATAACTCGTCGAAAGGATAAGCGGACTGCAAAACTACTTTATAATGAGAAGGGGAACTCTTTATATGCTGTTTTGCAACAAGTTGCTATTTAAAATATTTTCACTTAAATACGCCACGACAACTACGCTGTCACATACATTCATCTGCTACTATAACTCTTTTTATTTAGAAAAAAAAAATATTTGTTTAAGTAAACTTCGAATTATTGTTATGCTGTAATTATGTAACCCACTTAATATTTAAATTTTATTACAGATAAATCATTCGATGACAATTCAAAAATTACCAATAAATCTGTACTCAGCCAAAATAAGAAGCGAAAGATATCGCAAAACTCCGAAGATTCTAATGAACACAGTCAAGGTAAAATTGTTATTTTTTTATTCATTAGTAGACTTAAAAGAAAGTTGATCACAAATATTCCCAGTGTTGTATAAAACAATTAGCGTATCAGCCCATTGGTGGGAAAAAAGCAATATTATATCCAATCTTGAAAGTTGATAAGCAGTTCTATTTCTTTGCTGTACCAACAAACTTCGTACATTGGCGTACTCTTCAAATTGCAACATAATTGATTGGCAAGTAATTTCATATTCATGGTCTGTTCGCGACGGCCTAACAACGCTAAGAAACAAAGTGATAAAGAATATTGTTTTTTGTATTAATAGTGAAATTACCGACAAAACTGGGTGAAAACGTGTATTGATATAGTTGTGTAGCATGTTTATAACTCTTAGTATATTTGTATAGAATGTCGTTTTGATAACAAGTGATGTAAACAACTTTTCTTGTATTAAGAAAAATCGACCAATCGCAGCGCGTCTTATCGTAGAACCCTAGAAGTTTTTAATTAACTGCGTAATAGTTTATACTAAAAATAATGAAAATAATTATATGTTCTAAAAGAGTTGTAAATATGACATTGAATTAGCTGGCTTATAGATTAAGGAAGTGTAGGAATATTTTGTATAATTAAACGCATTTGGTAGTTGTAGAAAAATCAAAGAATTAATGTACACAAATATGAAAATTTGGGACATTTCGTTTAATAACTTTTTACAATGTTAATGTTTTGAGTAACCTTTATGATATACTAATAAAGTACCAGACAACCGATTTGATGATGTATAGCATGTTAGTGTAGCAATTAGTTTTGTTTAGAAAATATTGTAATTTATGCCATTTGCATAGTGAAAAGTTTATGCAATAAAGACGCAAAACGGAAAATGGCAAGCGGCTCACTGTAAGGTATAGCCTAAGTCTACCTTAGGGGCTCGGGACCCAGTAGGGCAGTAGTGTGAAGAACTACCAGTGACAAGCAGTAGTATCCGGTAGTAGCTGAAGTGATTAGTAGCAGTATATAGTGAATAGTGAAAGTGTTAGCTAGCCGAAAAAGGTCGTAACTGATATTCGCAATTACATATAGTGAAAGTGGTAACTGATATCCGCAGTTACACAAGTGATAAAATCAGCTAGTTTAGTTGATAATAGCTGCTAGTCAATAGTGTTAGAAAACCAGCTACTACTAATAGATATTTGATACTACCGTACAATTTAAAGAAATCTTTTAAAAATATACAGTGACCGTTAATATATAGTGAACAACCGTAGTTGAACAATCATGGTCAATAAACAATAGTTATATAATTTTGCGACTAATTAATCAGTCGAACCGCTGGCCACTACCTTGCTATTTGTATTTATAAATCGTGCATTTTGATTTGAACCTCAGTTTACAATATCTCAGCGGCACCCACAAAGACGGCAGTGAAAGTATCCTCCGGAACCTATAGGTGTAGGACATGAGCGACTCGCGAAGTATCTTCGACAACATTTACTCCGAAGAGTTTCGCCCGTCCGGCACATGGTCAATGCTTTGACATTTTACTACAAAGAAGGAAGGCTAACTCATAAGTATTTTAGGTTGTCTTTCCACAGAGTCCAAGGCGACCAGATTTACACTATGGCACACATTTCTAAAGTTAAAAATGATCAAGAAGTTGTTTTAAAAGATCCTAGACAGCCTGTACAACGGTCAAAACAAAAATATGAACGGGGAAATAGTTTTTTTTTTTAACATTAGGCTTACTAAGTATTTAAATATGCCACAAGGAAAAGTATATGAAAAGTATATGAAAAGATGTGAAAAGAGAAAAGATATGCATCCGCTCCATTAACAGGTGCTAAAATATTTGTAAATAAGTAAATAATTGTTGAAAATTTCAGATATTGAGAAAACTAATATAAGTGAAATGGCCCAAAATACATCTATAACAATTAAAAAGGAAGCCAAACAAGACGTAGATGGAAGTAATGTCAATGATATACTTGATTCGTCAAAAATTCTGAATGAGCCAGGGAGGTCAAATAAATCAAAGAAAAAGATCAGAAACTCTAAGACTGAAAATCAACTAAAAGGTATAATGACTTTTAGCACTTACAATTTACAGTAAATAATATAACTTAACTATATTCACTTCCGTTATGTATTGATTGAATCAAACAAAGTTTATTAATATGTAGGCGCATCTATAAAATGCCACACAATTGGCTTATCGTGTTGTAATTTCCGACAAATATATTATTGCATGTTAGGATAGGTCAAATCATTTACAAACATTTAGTTCATAAAATTTTTAATAAATTATGCTGACATGATACATACATCATTTAGTGTGACCAGTGTATGTCTGAGTCTCAGAATCGTCTTTTCTTATAATAAATATGTTTATATAATTATATTAGATAACATAAATAAATTGTATTTTTATTGTGCTCAAATTATTTCCTAAAGTAATATGTTTCCTTTTTTTTAATAGATTCAGGAACCGAACAACGTGTAAACACTGAATCGTGCAAACAAAATATTCCTCATCGTGGACAAAGTAAGAATCAAGATGTTTCAGAATCAGGTATGAATTTACCCAAACTAATTCATAGACAGATAAGGAGCTCTACCAACTGTAAACTGTTTTCTAGTAAACTTCCAGTCCATCTGATGGTAAGTGACTACTGAATACTGCAGTCCATGGGCACCTGCACCTACAGTCAATTTCAAACAAAAAAGGCTAGAGCCCTGAGGACTAAGATGGAATGCCTTGCAGCTTACAAAATTTACACTATCTATATATTACAACATTTTTATTTATTTTCCTTTTGTATTCTCAAATCATTTTTTTTTTACATCAACTTCTTTCTATCTTTGCATCACCCCAAGATAGACTAATAGAGCATGCATTAAGTCCACCTATAATATATATATGAAATTTTCAATAAATTTAAGGAGTCATACAACCTACTTAAATATTTTCTTTATTATTTGCCTTTTTTAATAAAATCATAACAAAGTTTATTTGTTTATTTTTCAGTTAATCCTAAATTAAAAATTAATAGAAACAAAAAACGGAAACACAGAGACGATGATGACGATGCAAACAAGGCATTGAAGGTGGGTTTTAAATAGAAGCATTTTATAATATTATGTTTGATGAATATCTGGAGCAGGAAAATTATAAACCTTTGCCATCATGCTGACACTAACGAAACTAACTTTTTTTCTGTCATTATCAATGTCACTATCAAATTGGTGTCTATTAAAATCTATGTTTTGAATTGGTTTAATATATAAATATGTACTCATACTCATACTATACTCACTATTAAATTACTTTTGTAAAGAATTAGTTCAAATATATTGTAATTATTATAATATTTCGTAATCAAGCTTTTGTCTTTACCTGTATTACAAAAATACAATATTATCTTTAATGAATATTTATTTTTTATTTAGCTTGTATATTATCCCATGGAATAAATATCGATATTTGGTAATATATATTTTATCATATCATATAATGTGCATTTATATATAGTGAATATATAATGTTAACTATACAATTATTAATTATTTTGTGCTCTATTTATGCTTCTAATTAATAAAAATAACTATTGCTATCTTATTAAATATGATATTATCTGGCTTCATATTATTCATACCACATTATAATGAAGTAGGTCTCACAAGGACTTTTGAAACAGTTGTAGATAGAGACATGTTTTAAACTTCAATAAGAAATAGGTTTAATAATGTTTTATTTTGCAACAGTTATTATCATGCCTTATTTGCCTTTGTCTCTTAATACTTTTTATTCATATTTTTTTTATCTTACTCTCTGCCAATATGACGAGTAATAAAAATATTTTTTCTAAATCTGTCACTGAATTTATAGCTGTATAATTTTTTCTGTTTATAGGTGCTTAAGGAAAATTCATTAGACCAGATCCACATACCTCGACTACCGCATTCTCTCCTTAATCTTTTGGAAGATAAACCTAATAAAGAAATTTTGACCGCAAAGAAGCACAAACCTATCTCCACAACAGAATTCGTAGTAGAAGAAACAATGAAAAGAAAAAATAAACCATCGAATTACTTAGAAGAAAGTGTATACATAAATGATTATGATTCTCCAGAGGCGAAACAACAAAGGGCCATTCTAAAAAAACCCAAAGTCCTGCCTTTTATTCCTACTGCTTCAACTTCAAACAGTGGTTTTACAACCAATTTTAAAGTCAATATCGTATCTCAGGAAATAAAATTTGTTGCTCAATCAAATAATGTTACCAGTTTTAAGAATGATTACTTGTATAGCCAAAAAATTAAAAGATTAGGAACTTATGATTTATACAAAAGAAATAGAAACATAAAGATATCTAAATTTTAACTTATTAATAAAATGTAATTCGTTGTTCAAAAGATAATGTTGTTGCCTGTTATAAATAATTAAGACTGAATCCAATATTATTATGACAATATGTTGCTGTATTTACTAATTTGAATAATATCAGTATCCCCTTTTAATAAATACCTACTCTTATCGACGTAATATATTTCTAAAAACATTTTAATCACATGTACTCAATATATGTAAGTTTGACAAATATGTTTAATATCATTTTTAACCTTTTTTTATATAGACATGCAAAAAACCTTTTTCCTATTTATCTATATTCCATTTTATTCTTTTAACTTTCTTTTTCTTTCATGTTTCAATTTTGTAAGTCGAAAAATTTAAATCTTTATTTTCCCCGCCATAGATTAAATCACGTTAATGGATACGAGATGGCGCTAGTGAGCATTAAAAAAAAATTGTATCGCCCATGTGCCTTGTTTTCTACTGTAATTTAATTAAGTTTGGATAATTTTGTTAATTCATTAAATAAAGTTAATTTTTGCGATTTAACAATTATTTTTAAGTTACTATTCGAAGATTTAGGTGTTCATACTCTTCGGAAGTACTTCCCGCCTTATCATGCCGGTGTAAACAAACCGCCATATTGTCGAGAATAGTCGACTCATGGTAATTGGTAAGTAACGAAGTAAGTATTATCAAAAGGCTAGAACACTTCATTTTATAAAATAATGCATATAATAAAAATTACTATAATTGTATCAAAACAGGATTTAAAATTTTCTCAGAATAATATAATGAGGATGTCGGTTGACTAGTGACGTCAATACAGATATTGCTTTCAACCAATAACTGTGATATTAGCTTGGTCACGTGGTCATAACTCACCAATAGAGAAAGACGCCATTCTTTTGTGTATATTTTCACATAATAGTAAAACATCGTAGTCTATGGAGTGAGTTGTGTTAAATTTTGTCAATTTCATGACGGCAAAAGCGTAAATGTGTGAAATTTTGGATTATTCTACTGAGCATAAGGATATTTATGTGAATAAATATTCGGTAAGTAACATTTAAGTTCTAAAATAGTATTTTTTTGCTTAGAAACAAGATGTACGGATAATGGGAAAGTCCAATGGAGTTATGTCCCGCTCTTTTTAATGTCATTCATCAATTAAATGATAAGTAAAAGAAATTATAATCGTTGTAGTAATATCGTATAGCACGAATTCATCATCTCATAAACTAAGCGATACTTGTTATTTACGTTATATTTTAACAAAGTGGCGGGAAATTATTTACAGCTCCATAAGTAGGTATTCAAGATATCCGTCTACACAATCGAGCTTCAAATTAAGATGGTAGTGTAAACAAACAATTTAAGCAGATTTGTCTTTTATGTAAATTTCTAGCTACTATATTTCAGTTGAATCCCAATGTTGCAACAAATATTTAACACGAGGTAGAATTATAACGGATAAATTGTTTCATCTTCTGTCTCGTTCACTTAACCGTACTAACGTTGATATAGAAAGGGACGATAAGAGAATTATTATTATTTTCGAATTGTGTTTATTTTGGCCACTCCTAAAGCTTAGTTGTTATATTCATAGTTTTGATTTATTACTTCTTCATATAACTTTTATAAAAAACGAAATCTTTTATTAATTCATATATATATATTATATATAACTGTTAAAACGGCGCCAATTCCCCGTCAATGAACTTACAAACGGTTGTGAGCTTGTAAGTAGTGGGTTGGAGTTGCATGATAGGCAGGTATATATAGTTATAGGTTATGTTTGTTATTGATACGGGTTTGTATGTAAACTTCACCGAATGAAATTTAAATAAAAGTTATTTTACTCTCAAAATGTTTTGAATATGAACAATTATTGAACTACCCTGCCTAAAATAAGTTTAGTAAAGTAGTATTTAATATTTGATGATTTCTTTGCAATGTTCCCACGGCCGATTCTGAACAAGAATTTCAAAACGCTTAACAATGAGTGCACTCTGTAGCTGTGTGTATTGCTATACGACAGTAGTTAGTTGCACATGTGTGAGTGAAAGTAGGAAGAGAACATAGTGTAGAGTATACCTACATACTTTTGACCAATATTATTTAATTTGAAGTACTTAGACATATATGTACCTATATAAGTTTAGGCAATCCATGGGGATAATCATGATTGTATTTAAAATTACAAGAGTCAATCTATATTTTTATTATTCAAGTCTAAGTGCAGTGTTATTCTATAGATGACTAAACTTGTGAAGATAAAACTTGAAAAATAAAAAACCGACTTCAAAGAAGTAATAATAAAATAATGTCCACTCAATTTAATTGCTTCTAAAGTCGTTGTCAACTTATAATGTTTCTATGAATTAAAGACTAACTTCTGAAACTTTTTAATTACCTATATGGAAATTATTATTTTTTAGATTCTTCGAAGTTTGTATTAAACTTTAAACCCCCTTTAAGTGGACTAGGCAATATCATAACTTAGAAGGTACAATTATAATTATTTCGTCCCTATATTTCCTCTTTTCGGGCTGGAATTTGAGTCTCAAATTTGCATAGGACCGCCCTTGAGGTGCTTAATTAAAAAGTATCCTTACAATCGGTTCTCAATTGATAAAGATATCGTGAAACATAGTAGGTATACATACTAAAAACAATCTATTTGAGAATTACTCCCCTTTTTAAAGTCTGCTAAAATCATTGAGGTATTACTGTAATATAGTTCAATGGCTAAAATCTATCAAGTGTTTTTGACCTGTAAGAAAACATAAACCACAGTGTTATAAATAAAAACTTCATGTAGGTACCTAAATATCTAGTCACTTAACACCTTGTACTATGTATTAAGTAGAGATTATGGTAGTACTAGTATCTTTCAAGTTATTGTAACACAACAATAAGTTTTATAATAAATAACGACACTGCTCTTTTTAGTCTGTGAAAAGTGCAACTAAAGGAAGGGACGGGTGACTGCAACCTGTGAAGGTGTGCGTTTCTATGAATGTAGTAGTTTCTATAACAACAAATGTGTAGTCCACACTCCACACACCTGCGGCTTATTCCGTCAGCCAGACTACTCTCCCCTACGAGTATAATGTGTATTTTAATAAATAAAATTTTATATTCCTTAATGATAAAAATAAACGATAATCGAGACGGTATTATTTTAAATAAAATGTACATTTTTAAATAAACCTCTATAATTTTAATTTATTTAAAAAATGTAAATACTTAATTTCTATTAAATAAGGTTCGCAGCAATTATGAGATATGCTGTTCATTAGCACAAAAAAAAATAATATATGTATTTGAAATTTATGTAAGTGGGAATGAAATACTCTTTTACATAAATCGATACAAATATCCAGGGACCTAATGATATCATCGAAATTGAAATGATTTAATTACGTCTCTGTTTCAATCGTCTAAAAATACCAGTGCAATGTATTTTTTACCAGTCTGCAAGGTCGTCACGTTATGTCTATTAAATAATATTTGTATAAATTATTATCTATTCATACAAGGTTGAGTCAGTACTTAACTACTATGAGGACATTGACCGCCCATGCAATCAGATTCTATCTTACTTTTGGCTATTTATTATCGTCAATTGTAAAATTATAGACAATTTATTCCTTAAAAATATTTTCATTATTTCATGCTTGTAATTGAAGTGTACCTATATAAAATAAAATTTGAGTAATCGGGTACTTTAATAGTATATTTTAAGTTTCTCTTCTCGTCTAGATACGGAAAATAAGATAAAGGATAAAGTTTACGCAAAATATTTCTATTTCCCTCCCTCCGTTGTAAACAGGAAAGTAGACGGCTATAGTACGAGGGGAGTGACTGCGCTACACATTCAATCAATAAGGAACCCCTCCTTCCTATTTTGTGTTGATGCGCGCGCATACAGAAAATCACTTCACATCAAAGTACTTTTCGCGCCAAATACATTTGAATTAGTGCTGTGAATTATTTTTTTTCCGTTACAGATAATTTCTTTTATTATCTAATATTGTCGTATTCAAATTCTATTTATACATTTGCAAATTTTGGCCTTCAGCTCTAGGAGTATGTCCTAGGCAGAAGGCAGTGCATTACTGATTATTAAAATAGGTGCTACTATATATATACTATAAAATCGAGGCTTAATTTTGTTAAAACTGTCTTATGATTTAAAAAAGCATTTATTAAAGCTTCTTCGTTATTCATTCTGAGAAACATCATATTATTTCTATTTCTTCCATATTTTAAGTTTTCCGAGACGGCGATTTTTCACGCTGTTTCGTCGACCATCGGCGTAAGAGACATAAGGTAATTTGTTCAAGAGCCGAGCTCGTCGAGTTCAAGGCGATCGCACGCGGTCAGGTTCGAGGACACAGCACGATGGCGCGGGCGGCGCTAGTACCCCTTCACCCCACGCTCCCTTCAGTCCCGCCTATAGGTACAGTCTACTCCAACACCACGACTAGGTTAGGGCTTCTATACACGAAATATTCTGAAATAATTCTATTAATACCCTTTACACTGTCGAAAGCATTACCATAAATTATCGAAATCAGTTTAGCTTATCTTACTCTAGCGGTGGAGTAGGTAAAATCATATTTGTAATAGTGAATACCTACTTTGTATCTGATTTCTTCAGCACCACAAAGTAAGGAATATAATTTTTATATAAATATTTAGTAATAACGTTACTTCTATGAGTTGTTGAATATATGAGTTTATTACTTAAACATTTTATCGTATTATATTTATTTTTATTTATCCTTTATTGCAACACACTTTCAACTAGGGGTTACAAAGGGTAAATTCAAGGTCCTGTGGTATTCTCCAACATTAACCCTGGGAAAGATGGATTAAATAAACATGATTGTCGCACTATATTATAGAGATGGGCCGAATATTCGTTTTATATTCGGTATTCGGCAGCTTTACCGAACATTTGTTATGGGTACTCAAAGCACTGTATTGAAATGTACGAATTGAGTAATGCCATGTCAGGT